TATATATATATATATATACACACACACATATGTAGCATGTCACTTCAGAGGGTAACTTGACCTCTTTATTTTAATCTCCACAGTAAGATTAATTTTCTCTTTGCTTCTGAACCAAAATCATGCCTTTTCAGAGGAAAAAAAAAATTTTTTGTTAAGTGGTAAACAAAAAAAGATGCTCATCTGATGAAATACAATTTTACGGAACATGAATCAGGGCAATAATTCATTTTTCTTCCTATTGCTTTTACACATTAGTCACTACCACAAGGTTTTCATCCCTCCAAATTACATCTTCCCAAGTCATTACACTGAATCATAGATCTTTCTGATTAGTTGCTTTTATTTAGCTGCACCATAATCATTTGATCCTCTCCATGCAACTCAAAAGTAGAACTGTGATCCATCTGTTAAGTTATAGACCATAAGTTCCCATCTGTCATCCATGGACCAGTAGTAATCCCTAGAGCACTCTCTGCCTGTCTGCAGAGAGTTGGCTGTTCTCATGGTGATGCTTTCTCCTCATCTCCAGCTGTTAAATCACATTAAAAGAGGCTAAACAATACCGAAAAACGTGAATAACATAATTTTCCATGTAAACAATCGCTTTTATTGCAAGAGGGATGTTGGGCAATTGCGAATGCACAAGGTCACATCACTGAGCCACATGACTTTCTTGGTGGCAGCTTTGCAAGCCATCGGGTCTCTGTTAGCAGCTGCAATGATGGCTCCGAGTGGGGTCGGCTGCCTTGCTCCTGTCAACGGGGTGCTCCTCCAGAAGCCTACAGCCCTCATGCAAGTGTCAATGCTGTTAACTGTTGCACTGCTGATTGCTTCAACAAAAATATCTACCACTTTAAGGAACACGGAGCTGATTTCTCTGGATTTGGCTGAAACAGTTGCCACCCCAGCTGTTCATCTGGCCCTTTACCCAAAGCACAAGCTGTGACTGTGGCTGAGCAGTCTTATAACAGCTCTCCCATCTCAGCTGTTTACAGTCTGGGGTATAAAACATAATTTTTGTCCACTTCAGTCTTTTAAACAGCCATAGTTCAGCAGTTGCTGCTGATCCCGCTCCCTGAGGTGGGAGAATAGTGGGGCATTTCAGTCGTCCCAGTTTACTCTGACCCCGCACACAAGGCAACACCAGCCGGCATTACCTTTGACAGCTCACAACGGAGTAGCAGCACTGGTTTCTGTCCCCTCCATCCTCCTACCCTGCCTGCCCAGGCCTCCCATTCCCACCAACAGCGTGGCTGGACGTACTCTTCACAGTTCATAGCCCAGCATGCAAGCGAAAGCGTTGGCAGTTCTGCCCCATTTCAAAGTGCCAGGCTATTATCTGCAGCAGCTGAGGCCTCTGCATCCCCAGTCCTTGTTAGATTGCCATCCAGGTTCAATTCTTCAGCTACCACATCTAAATCTGACTGGGATCATGAAACTTATAACACAGCTTCAAACTGCCTCCCAGACACCTGAACGTATCAAACTCTCCTTCAGCCGGCATCTGCGAGGCATTACATACGATATTACCATTGCAGATCAGACTGAAAACTGAGGAGACAAGAACAGCACAATCAATCAATATTGAATTTAATATATAAGTGCCTGAAAGAATGGTGAGTGCTGCAGCGGCTCTATTGTTTGCTTTTATTCCTATTTAACTCACCATCATATCCCATTTTAATGCATGTGGAACTTGCTCCTGAACACGGTGCCAGACAAACACAGCCAAGATCCACGTGGCAAAGGTAAGATGCAGGTGTGTGGAGTCGGGACGTGATGTTTATTCTCATCTGCACAGGGAGAAGCTGGTACACATGGGTGATCATCTCGCAGCCCTTTGTCCACTGGAGTCTATTTAGTCAAAACAAATCAACTTCTACAGCTAAAAGCACACCAGGCAGTAATATGGCTGACATCCATCACGAGTTCAAATATCTCCATACCTGTTCACTGCTGGGTCCAGTGGGAGCACCCGCAAACACGCAGCTGGGCCAGAGCTTCATTCACACCTGTGGACTGACACTAAGGTGGCTCCACACCTCTTCCTCCAGGCCTGAGAGTATTAATATGTCTAAAACCAGGCTGACAGGGTATACTGTAAGGCATAAAGTAAAATATTGCCCTTTACTTAACTACTGCCCAGAAATACTATTTCAAACCTGAAGTCCTGATTCTTGAAACACACATGCATGCACTTACTTACTGCCTCGTAAAAGCAGATCTACAGATTATAACTGAGCTGCTACGTGAGTGAGGACGAGCATGTTTGCAGGCGCCACAGTACTAGCTTCTTGTGTTCATTTGTGCCAGGCTCAAGGTTCTTAGGTCTCTTCAAATTAAGCATGTGTTTAAGCACTTTATAGTGCTTAATTCTGGGCTTATGGGAGCCCAGAATACTCCACATATGAAATGTGTTAGGCAGTCGAGAGTTGGGGCCCCCAGTGTCTCTCTGTTAATCATCTGGAACAAAAGGCTGCACTTTTCCTGGACTTCATGCCTCTGCTAGTATGGAATTAGCATTTAGTCAGCCCCTGAATCCCAAATCTGAGCTCATCCAGACTTTGGGAAGAACAGTTCTGGCTCCAAGCTCTGCATTTCTTGCCCATCTTCAATTTGCAGTGATAGCAAAGGTTGGGGTTTTTTTAATGCTAATTCCCCACTTTCTCATCAACTAATAGAACAAAAAGGAGGAAAAACTATCTCAGTCCTGGGGATATTATCTTCCCTCTATTGGAAATGCATACATGATGAACCAATCAGGCTGTGAATGTCTTGATTCTTATCCTAAATAGAAAAGAAGCAAATACGCAAAGAGACAATAAGGTTATTAAGGGATAATATTTAGAAACTGAGTGACAGATGATTATCTGAACTTCATTAAATTTCAGATTTTGCATTTCTTTTATGCTCGCTCCTATAATTTTTCTTTTCCCTTTTGTTCATAGTCACTTTCTGATATTTCAAGGTTTGCAAAGTCTTTCTGCATCAAAAAGGGGATAGATTCAAAATGCAGAACATATTATCACACAAAGTAAAAACTAAACGATTGGCCAAAACCTTAGGGTTTTACCACGTCTCCAAGGTCACAGGCTGAGGCTTCCAAGCACACTGTTACTTCCATTCTTTGCTCTTGTTTTTAGGACAAAAGCCAGAACCAGCTGATCCAGTAATAGTTTAGTAAAGTTAATAAGTCCTGCCATGTTTACCTACTGTTTAAATCTGTTGCCTGCTGCCTTGGAGCATGGGCAGAGATGACATGTGGCTTTTTATCTCTGGCCATGCAGGCACCACTTTGGAAACTTTTTTTAAAAAATATAAACATAAAGGTAAAAACTTCAATTTGATTTTTTTTTTAATTAACAAAATGGAAAGGTAGAACCTACTTGTAATCCATATCAGTTCATTTTCTTACTCATTTCCCCCAGAACAAACAGCAAATTTGATTAAAGGAGATACAACAGTTTTGGCTTTATAATCCTGAAGAGTGATGTCCTCGTTTTCACACATAGACAAGGAGGACAAAATTTTCTTTGGAACTCTCCTGCCAGCCTCCCTCAGTCATTTCTGTAGCATCTGGGGAGACAGAGGGAGAGGAATCGTCATACACCGAAATCGTCTCATGAAAGGAGCAGCGATGCCTCACTCCTGTTGTCTTTTGTCATTTTTGTCATTATTGCCAAGTTGTCTATTTTTAAACTGCTGACCTGCAGCGCAATAGCTCTGTAGTATGCTGCTGTCAGTATAGAGCTGACATCAAACCTTCACCAAAATGCACTGATTTGATGTGCATAAGGTGTACAAAGTAATATAACAAGCAGAACTATGGTGCTGATGTTTTTCATCAAAAGCATAATTCAGTATAGAACTACATCAGCATTCTAACTAATACTTCTTCATTGGTTTTAGGCAAAAGATCAAAGAAATGTTGTGAACTGATTTTTCACTATATTTAATGAGGATCCCCAAGGGACATTTTATGACTTCAGATTAGACACTAGCTAGTAAGAAAGGTTGGATAGAAACTGGTAAACTAAGAAATCATTGCTCGATGCCATGCAAATCAACTTTTCCCTTATGAAAAAGCCAGGGTATTAATAGCCTTTGTATGGATTCACACCAAGCAGGTTATAAAGAACTTCAGAAGAGTTTTATAGAAATTAATCTAAAAATTTAGTAGTCTTAACATGGGGTGAGGGGAATGTTACAAAGACTTGTAGGATGTTTTTAACCGTGTAACAGTTCTCAAATTCAGCTGAACCCTATATGGCTATTCGTAGGAAAGTAGTCCCTGCCGAAATGCTCAAGAACATGTGTAAAAGCAGCAGAGAGAGTCTTTGCAGAACACTCTTGTAAATCAGGAAAAGTATATTTAGCTTGTCATATGCTTAATACTATGAGTTTAAGTACTGAATTAATTCCAATAAAATCTCATCTTTGCAGAAAGTGAGATAATACAGACCCTTTCTGGTCATTAGTTGCGTCATCTCAGCATCTGTCAGGATTGACAGTTATAGTAAAATTCCCCAGTGTTTCACTGCTATAGCTTCACACAGTTTGTTCACAGGAAATGCAAAGCAGGCTCAACATGAGCTCCTTCGTCTTCTAGAAATTGCGGTTGTTGAATTCTTTCGAGGACCTTTTTCATTGACGCCAAAATTTTTGGAGATTTGAGCAAGAGAAAGAGAATTCCCATGTACTCAAAGTAGAATTAGAAAATACAGTTGAATTTGAATTTGAACCTGCATCTTTTTATATTGAGGGAAAGAAGTGGAACCATTTCTCTTTGAGAACCCGTTGAGTGGGATGGGGTGAATCCAAAGTAAGGCAGAACAGTTGTTCAGCAGCAACAAGATAAAACAAAGAAATCCTCCCCTGAAGAACATAGCCGACTTAAAAAAAAAAAAAAAGAAAAGGAAAAAAAGCTAACTTGTGAACAGCTTGCTGTTCATTATCCTCTTGAGAAATATGTTCAGAGCATCATACAGCCAGTGATCTTGAAGAATCAGTAGTGCTTTGACATGCCTCTACAGCTCACTGCTTGAGAAACAAACGCTGTCTATTTTTACTGCCGTAGAAACTTGGAATTACATTTCCAGTTACTCCTTTGCCTACTAAAGAGCAATAAGGTATGAACTTACTTGTTTTAAGCTTGTATAGAACTAATATCTAGCATAAACCTAAATCACATTACACTAAACTGCATTATACTAAAATAAACTACATTATACTAAAAATTGTCCATTATATTACTACAAGCTCTACCGTACTACATTTACTACCAACTATAGCTGCAACGATGCCAAGAAAACCAATCCATCTGCTCCGTATAGTTATCCAATATGGTAGAAAGGATAATCTGTCGATTTTTGTATGTGTTTTATTTTTACCTAAAATATCTTTTTAAAATGAGCATTCATCTGAGCTGATATAAAAAGTAAGTTTGCATAAATTTATCTTTGATAGCTCTGCTCCAAAGACTATAGCCAGAGTGCGGAGCAAGAGCACTGTTCATACCTGATCTTAGTAGGGCTGCAAAGCAATTGTGATGATGGTAACAGTAGGAATGGAGGTGAGGGAAGGTTACCGAGGCTGCATGGGGTTTTCTTGTACACAAAGAATGTCTTCTGTAGTCTTTAAAAGTATCTCAGCCGCAAACAAGGAAATAAGCTCTTCAGTTCTTAAACTTATGGCAAGTATTTCAAAAGGACATTAAGGAGAACTGTCTTTGTTTCTTGTATGTGATTAGATACCACCCACAACCTTTCCCACTAACCTCCTAAATTAGCTACCGTAATTCCTGCAAGTACTCACTCCTGTTCCTTCTAACAGAAACTATGAAGTAGAAAAACCCAAACTAATGAAAATGCCCTTATAAATGCAGTAAGAGGAAAACTTCACTATACAAATCCATGGTTCATCCACACCATGAACACAATGCGCAGTTCTGATCTCCTCATCTTAAAATACAAATACATATATACCAGATCTGGAAAATGTTCAGAGAAGAGCAGCAAAGGGAATCAGTAAGGAATTACTTCACAGGACAGTAAGGAACTACTTCACAGGACAGTATGCTTCAGTTTGGGAAAGAGGAGACTAAAACAGAATACAATAGAGCTGCAAAATCATGAATGATATGGAAAAGGTGGAGAGCAATCAACAGTTCATTGATTTTTCTCATGCAAGTATTACAAATGAAGCTATTAGGGGTCAGGCTAAAAAAAATATTAGGGGAGTTGGTAGCCCTTCACATAAAGAGTAGTGGACCTGCAGAAGTCCATGAGAGATGACATTGTGGACGCTGAAAATGGACAAGGTTTCTAGGGGAGCTGCTCGTGTGAGAGAATCGCACTGCCGTAGTATATGCAGAAACCACATCCAACTCAGGAAGTGTCCGAGCTGAAAATAACCGAAGGCTGAGAAAATACAAGAGGGAGGTATTACAAATGCTTGGCCTGTTCTTACGCTTTCTCAGGCAGTGATGTAACTGGGTATTTATGGACCCTGTGGGATACTGGATGTTGAGTTATATGGATCTCTGCCTAAGCCAGAATGGCCCATTTTATATAAGCAGGAAGAGGTAGTATTTTCAATAGAAAAAAACATCACAAACTTATGTTGTTTTATGATCATGTATTCTTGTTGTTCACCTCAGTAAAGATAAAATACATCAGTCTCTATCCAGACTTCTGCTTTTGTTGCCATCAAAATGTCAGCAGCACTCAGGGTAAAGATACTTCCAGCT